GTGGCAATGGCCTCCATCCTAATAGCACTAACCTAACAATGGCCCCCAAACTACTAACTACTAGCAATGACCTCCAAACTAGTAGCAATGGCCTCCAAACTATTGGCAATGGCCTCCTACCTAGTAACAATGACCTCCAACCTACCAGCAATGGCCTCCAAACAACTAGCAATGGCCTCCAAACTACTAGCAATGGCCTCAAACCTAATAGCAATGGCCTCCAAACTACCAACATTGGCCTCCAACCAAATAGCAATGGCTATTAGGTTGGAGGCCATTGCTAGTAGGTTGGAGGCTATCGCTATTAGGTTGGAGGCCATTGCTAGTAGTTTGGAGGCCATTGCTACTAGGTTGGAGGTCATTGCTAGTAGGTTGGAGGCTATCGCTATTGGGTTGGAGGCCATTGCTAGTAGTTTGGAGGCCATTGCTAGTAGTTTGGAGGCCATTGCTATTAGGTTGAGGCCATTGCGAGTAGGGTGGAGGCCATTGCTAGTAGTTTGGAGGCCATTGCTATTATATGGGAGGCCATTGATAGCGATCCAAACTACAAGCAATGGCCTCCAAACTACGAGCAATGGCCTCCAACCTAATAGCAATGGCCTCCAAACTACAAGCAGTGGCCTCCATCCTAATAGCAATGGCCTCCAGACTACTCGCAATGGCCTCCAACCCAATAGCAATGGCCTCCAACCTAATAGCAATGGCCTCCAACCTAATAGCAATGGCCTCCAAACTACTAGCAATGGCCTCCAACCTAGTAGCAATGGCCTCCAAACTACTAGCAATGGCCTCCAAACTACTAGCAATGCTCCAAACTACTAGCAATGGCCTCCAACCTAATAGCGATAGCCTCCAACCTACTAGCAATGGCCTCCAACCTAATAGCAATGGCCTCATGGCCTCCAAAGTACTAGCAATGGCCTCCAACCTAATAGCAATGGCCTCCAATAGCAGTGGCCTCGAAACTACTAGCAATGGCCTGCAACCTAATAGCAATGGCCTCCAAACTACTCGCAATGGCCTCCAAACTACTAGCAATGGCCTCCAACCCAATAGCGATAGCCTCCAACCTACTAGCAATGGCCTCCAACCTAATAGCAATGGCCTCCAAACTACT